TATAATATTATAATATTATTATAATAAATATACTATTTACTTGATTAGAACAGTTTATTAACAATACCGCCATTAATTACTGTTTAGTATCAGTCTTTATGATTTATTTTTTTGTAGTTATATAATATGTTAAATAAGTATTTAAAAATGCGTTTTATTGTTGATAAGTTTAATGGGGCAGCAAAAAAAAAAATTTGCCTAAGGACGGTATTTGTGTAAATCGGTCTCTGATAGTCATCCTGCATTACATATACGCAAGAGTGTGCAACGATACATATAATAAACGAATTCTTATAAATATTAAAAATACACAAAATTCAAATGAGGAAACAATTGTTCAAAAAGCCACATCCGTGGATAAATTAAAGCATACACATTATCACATAAACGTCATACACCAACATAAAATTCTAACAAGGAAACAAATTAATGATTATAAAGATAACATCCAAAATATCACAGAAATGTCATTCAATAAGGAAACGATTGTTCAATTAATCACACCCGTGAGATAAATTGAATTATACACATTATCACATTATATGCATACATCATCCCACACACAATATCAATAAGGATTATCATTTTTTAACTATTTTTAAATATCACAAATTTTTACATAGGTACACATACTTGCGTCCATCGGGTATGTAAGGGACCCGGAAACAAGGGCTAATCAGACGAGTTCTTACTATGCGACACTGAGCACCTGCACGCTAGTATATGTTATGGTTTGGACTTGGATTCTCAACAGATTAAATTATTAGGACTTAGAATATTTCAACACAGTTTAAATATTAGTACTTGGAATATTTCACATAATTTATTAATTATTTGTACTTTATAATTTTGAACAGTTTAAATAAATCACTTTAACCACAGCTATACTATACTATACTATTTATAGTATTAATTATTTTACAACATCCATCTACATTCAAACGTTGAACAGACTGAGCGAATAACTAAGATTCAATCAATCGGTTGGCACGCAACAGTATAATAATTAATTTAAACGCTTATGAAATAAATTTCAGACTAACAATTTTTAATAAAATATTCAGTACCTATCGGTAAATAAGTAATCGTGTTTGAGTTAGGTGATATTACATTTTCACTTAATATCCAAAAATAACAATTTTGTTACATAAAGTCTTTTAAAAAATGAGGTATTTTTAAAGTTCTATATTAAAACCAAAAGCACTTTTTTTGAATGTTATCAAATACGAAAAAAAAATATCTTTATTATATGGTAAACGTTTTAAGTTTCTAGTCACATTACTTTTGGAATTAGGATTAAATAACTAAAATCTGAAAAGTGAAAGTCTTATTTACAGCGTATTTTTACCGTTTCAGGGCAGTTTTTTCTTCACGTCTGGAAAAACTCTTAAGATTTAAAAAAATGACCTATTTAAAGTACCACCGCATGCCATTTTAAAATCTAAACATTTCTAAGAAAAAACTTTTGGATCAGTATTTCTATCCGAAAAAGTGTTAAAAAATAAAATAGAAACATCATTATAAAAACATAATGTACTTTGCTTCACTCAGAATCTAAAAGTGATCATGTGGTGAAACATTTGTGTTTACAAAAGGATAATTAGTTATACGCACAATAAAAATTTAAAATCAAAGTGAACAATTTAAATTTAGAAATATTCAAATATTTGGGTTACGGGTGTCTATAACCATTAAGGAAATGAAAAAGATAGAAGGGCTTCAGAACCCCCCAGTTTTTATCATTTAAATTGCGTCTCTGGCCATTACAATCCTCGTGTTTTACGTTCTTTTTATTATAACAGCTGGGACGAAAGGCCACAAATAATTTTTCCACGTTAGTGACATCGTTTAATGTTTATTGTCCCACAGCTCAATAAACATTACATTGATATAGATAGGTTGTCAAATTTTAAATTCCTAAATCGATACATCTTGAATGATACTTTTCTTTTATGTAACGCTCATATGGAAATAAAAATAAGTACGTTCTTTTGTGATTTAAATATTTATTAGCTAATACAAAGATACATTATTATTATAACAACCATGCCGATATAATCGATATAACCATAATATAATCAAAGGTGGGCATTAACTAGTTAAAAAGTTAAAGTTAAGTTAGAAAGTTAATTTTTTTTGAATTTTTAACTTAACTAGTTTAATAGGCAGTTGAAAAAACTTAGATTTTCACAGTTGATTTAAAAAGAATATACCAGTAAATTTTTTTTTAAATTTTTTGTTTATACGTAAATATTAATATAAAAATTAAATAATAATGTAAAGTAAAATTGTCACATACACTGTACGTCAGATGTCATATTAGATTTTTATTTAGAGGGCTCACCTTTGGGTATTGGGTTCTAGCTGTAGATACAGAATGTTATGTACAAATAATTTTAACTAAAAAGATAAATAAATAGTGAGTGGCCCCTTGGTGTACAAAGTCATAGTATTTTTCAAACACATCGGTGCCATTGCTGTATATTATGTTAAAAAATTCAATACAATTTTTTTTTTTTGTATAATTTAGGAGATTAGATCTTTCTAAAGAACGCAGTCACATTTTATATGATTTACAAACTAACTAAAAAAAGTAGATTAACTTTTTTTAAACTGAGTTGGTATTTTTTTCCTTATTAACTTTTAACTTATCGAGTTAAATGTATGAATTTTTAACTGTTAACTTTTAACTTGCCAATATTGTGTTCTCTTAACTTAACTTAATATAAAAATATTTGGTAGAAGGGGTGGAAGCACTAAAAATGATTCTTGGCACCGGATGCTAATTATGTTGGGCACAGCACTGGGTAGGCTAAACAAATTACATTATACTTCTCTCAACCGACTAAACCTAGTAGAAATTCAAGAAAAAAAGTGGCCAGGAAATGGATAGTGGAAGTCTAGAAATTGGACCCTTTTTTATTGTGGTAGAACAAAATACCATAGTGGAGTTGGATTTATCGTAAATGATGAGATACTGCCGAAAGTTAAAAAAATTGAGGCAATTAACGATAGGATATGTTATATAGAAATATAATGCATATGGACCAATATAATTATAGTTAACTGTGCCAACCGAAGTTAAGGAAGATAAGTTAAAAACATTTTCAATGATAGAATAGATGCAATGTTTGATCGGATATCAACAAATAAAGTAAAATTCCTAGTTGGAGATTTTAATGCAAAAATCAGACAAAAACTAATACAAAACAGGCCATTGATCGGGAAACATAGTTTGCGTGAAAAGTCCAATGATAATGGTATTAGGCTTATTAATTGTGCTATGATAAGGAACATGAAGGAATAGTGAGAGGTGAAACATTTACACAAAAAAAGCATACACAAACAAACGTGGGTATTACCATTTGGTTAGACAAGAAATTAAATAACTAAGGAGGAAAAAAACTAGGATATGGATTGTTGACGTTCGGAATAAGGGAAGATGTGCCAGATTGGATTATTTTCTCGTTAAAATATAAGTTAAAATCAGTTTGTCGGTTGAAAGACAATAACAAACAGCACTGTCTGAAATAGTGAATACAAGCTTTAAAAAAATCATTCAATTGAAGTATAAAAAAAAATTAACAGTAACATTATAATTGGTACAAGAAACAGAGAAGCTAAATTAAATTTGGAACAACACACAAAGCACAATAAAGTGGCAATTCAAATCTAGGGCTTTTTAAAAAAAAGATAGAAATAAATGGTGTGATGAAAACTGCAAGAAAAGAGTAATAGCTAAGAGAGATGTAGATCTTTTAATGAACAACTATTTTAAAATATAAATAACTTCATATAATATTTAAATTTCCTACATTCTACTTAATAATCATACTGACATCATTCTAAATTACATACATATATTTTTACCAATAAGTATAGACTTAGTTTAATACTATTGTAAAGTATGAATTTATCTTTAGGACTTTTTGATACTAACAATACTTATGGAATAAATATGGACTGAAGTATTATATGTATGGAAACAATATGGTTGAAAGCCGTTTTATTAAGTACTTACATATTATACACATTTAATAATTATGAATTTTATCATTAGCATATAACTAAAAAAAAAAAAAATTAGTTTTATGTGATAATAAAGCTTTATTTTTGATTTTTTTTTATATTTTATTTAACTTGAAGTCAAAGAATTATCAGATAAAAATATTTGACAACATTCTTAACTAGAACAATAATTGAAATATTATATTTATAATTTTTTTTAGTATTACAATTATTAATGTGTAACTATGGAGTTAAACTAACTTAATATGGTTTTATCATTGTTTATTATTTAATTACATATAGTTTTTTTTTTTGCAATAAATATTAACTCAATGTATTAGACAACTATTTCTTCATCAAATATTTAGTTATAAATTTGGTATAATGAAATTCATAATTTTTAAAAATGTTTATAGTAAATAAAAATACAATTTTCTTACTCCATCATTAAGTCTCACAGTAAAAATTGTCAAAAATATTCACATCTTACAATATAAATACAAATTAATAATGAAAAAGAAAAATTACATATAAATTATTACATTGAAAAAAAATATAAGAAATATTATTTTATTTAAAGGTTACAATTTATAAGCAAGAACACAGCAAAACTAGTATAAAATATTAAAACATTTTGACTTATTGAAAATGAAATATGAATATAAATAATTGTATTATATAATTTTAAGTGTGATGCAGAAAAAGTTATCAGTAGATAAAATGTTCAATTCAATAGTAATAAGATTCAAATCTCTAAAATTTGCAAAAATGTTACTGAATTTACTCCAATGATGATATTTATGTTGTCTCAAATAAAATACATATAATATACTTAACATTCTGTCAAGTATTTTATCATTTATGCTCAACAGTTAACTATATCCACACCACACTAACAATTGTTTATTAATATCAAAATATTAGTATCAATAATTTATTGTTCAAAAATAAAAATAAAAATATTATAAAATAGGTGTGTGTATATATATAAACAAATAGTATATGTAAACAAATCAAATTATTTCGGTGCTCATATAAAAAAAAAGATTACACATTTTTCATTAATATCATACTATAATCAAGTAACAGTTAATGCAGCACGTTTTGGTGTTGCCTGTTGTGAACTTTGGCTGTTTCCAAATGAATCATCTGGATGTTGTTTGGGACTGCACACTGGAGGAGAGGGTAATGGACCCAAATCAATGTCTGCAACTCCGCTATCACGGTTTTCTGCATTGCTGTTTACTGACCTATAGAAAAGAATAACAAATAGTTCTCATATTATAATATTAATGCATAGCTGGAAACCTACCGATTGTTATGACCATGTCTGTGGCGCTCAAGTTCAGACTCGATTCTCAAATTTTCCATTTCATCCATTTCACATATTGATTCTCGAATATCTTCAACAAACTTACAGCGGTCATGGTCGTTTCGTGCATTAAATGTTATCAATAGACGCCCGTCTAAACGCTGAGTTAGCTTAATACCAAATTGATAATCTAAAAAAAAAACTTATTTAATTAAAAATCTATCCTTCAAATCTTTTTGGTTAAAAGATTTCTTACGTGGCATTTGAAACAATGACACAGTTAGACCGTTTAATGGATAACTTTGACGAAATGTATATGTTACTGAATTTTTCTTTTTAGAAAGTATTTTGGTAATGACTAGAAGATCGTTGAAGAGGAATACCTCACGTTGATGAACCCCGGGTCGTTCTTTCTTATAAATATCAGCCACTTCATACAGTCTACAATAGCACACTAAACGACGATGTGGTAATGCTAAGTTCTGAAAGAAAATAACAATTATAATAGAATTTTAATTCATGTATCATAATAAAGTTATTTTACAAGTACAACTGTAGCATACACTATAAACTAAAGTTTAAGTTTTGTGAAATATAAGTTTTGATTCTATATGAGCTAGACATACATACAATAAAATCAAATACTAAAGTACTTAAGTAAAATAAATACAAGATACTAAATTAAGCTTACTGGTTTCTTGCCAACTATTGTTGACTGCACTTTCATAACTTGGGTAACATGATCTGAACCGGGTTTGAATTCATTTGCTTTAATTCGCTCATATATTCCAACTAACATGTCTCGATCGATATCACAACAATCATCAATACCTAATAGTTACATTAAATATTCAATAAAAACATATTTTATTCACAACTTAAGAAAAATTACCTCTAAGATTTTTAATAAAATCATTCATCTTCATTCGGCGTTCTGGCTTTAGATTAGGTGTATGCAAATCAGTGTTGAGCATTATGATAGCAAATGCCAATATAAAAACAGTATCTAAATTTCTCAATCTCGCTACAACATCTCGGTTACAATGGCAATATCTATGGCTGAACACTTCAATGATTCTTTCAATTTTTTGTGCTTCCCCAGGCATACGAAAATATGTTTGAAACTTACGTAATGCAACATCTACCTGCATACCTGAGAGATCTATTTCTTGAGCAAAATACCTAAAAAAGAAAAGTACATATTATATAAAAATAGATTTATTTAAAAATGTGATGGTTTGGCTTTTTCTATACATGGGGGTAGAGTATTCAGTATTTTTCTAATTAATATTATTAAGGAACAATTAAAATAGATTCATTAAAGGCAAATAGATCAATTAAATATTTTCTAAAAAACTAATTTTATAGTATTTCTTTAGTATTATATGACAATTTTTAAACAATAACTTACAACTGAGATTCTCTAATCAAATGCATTTTAAATTATACCAAATGAAAACTTTATTTAAAAGTGTTAGTTGAAAAATAATTTATCAATAACACTGTACTTGAATGTAACAAACTTTAAAATATAAAGAAATCAGTTTAATTTTAAAGTTTGATAAATTATTTTAAATAAATATGAAGTTATGTATTGAAAATAGCGTTAATAATAATTTTTACAACTTTATAAAATAATACTTACTCTAAAGCTGCAGCATTAAATGGATTTTGTAAATCACCTAAATATTCACCAATCATTTGTTTGCTTAAACCTTTACGAGAGATTAAAAATCTCGCCACTGCATGAGGTGCATTATCTAAGAATCCTCTGCACACAAGGTAAATAATACCTTTTGAAGGTTTCTTATTAAAAAGATTGAGACCAATACGATATTGACGTTTTCTGATTACATCAGATATCTAAAAACAAATTACATTTTTTGGTATAGAAAATAAATAAATATTTATATAATAATACGTTGTAAATAAATAAGTATACCTGTGATTTTTTATTCCAAGAGACAATAGAATTTGACAACAGAGAAGAGTCAACAGAAGAATTTGTTTGATTTAAATTATGTGATTGACTAGAAAGACTACCATCGCTGCCTGAAGACTGAACACTTGATAAGCTACCACTATCTGACATCTTATTTAAAGTACCAGCTGCTATGTTTTGATGTTGTTCTCGTAATGAGCGAAAAGATATTGATGAAGTTCGTTTTGGAACTTCTGGAGGAACTTTATTTTTGGAAATGTTTGATGAGTACCCAGTAGAGTTTCCTGAAAACATACAAGATGAAGAGGTACTGCTACCATACTGATTACAATCAGAACCAGAATGTGCTTGTCTATATGTTTCTGAACCACTATTATGGCTGTTTCCACATAAATAGTTTGGCATCATTTGATGTGCCACTTGACTAGTAATATCTTCCTGGAAAAAAAATTGTTCAGATGCAATCTCTGGATTCATTGTATTAATGTTGTTTACTTTCATATCATTATAGCTATAATTATGTGAGTAGAAGTGTGAACACGAAGATTCCAAGCTATAATAATAATTTAAATCACATCGTCCTGATCGAGAACGCGGAAGAGAGTTACATTTAGTTGGTGAGTAACCAGATCGACGTTCTCTTAATGATCCTGATCTAACGCTCAACTGACTATCATGAGATCGTAAACTTTGAGTATCCTCCAAACGTTTACTAAGTCTTTTTTCAGCTTTTGCCATTGCTGTGATATGAGCAAATTTTTTAACCAACATATAATGTCGGAATGCTCGTTGAATAACTAATGCAGCTTGTCTGGCTCTGTCACCACCATATTTTCTTTCTAGTAATTCAATCTGCTTTTCAATCAAGTCTTGTGATAATTCATACCTTAAAAACATATGAAAATAGATAGATACAACAATAACATTATTTTTACTTATATTTTATAAGAAAACTTACGACGCAGATGTATGAAATGGTTCTGGTTGAACCATGTTATTTTTGGATGACATTGTATCAGTCCAATGATTATATTGTTCACATTGATTTAAAAAATGTCTGTTATTGCTTTTATCAAACTTTTCATCTCTGAAAAATTATTTAAAATTAATTCACTATTTTATCTATGATTTGTAAAACATAAATTATGCATTAAATGTCTTAAGGTAAAATATAATACATTAAACTGCCTGGTAATATAAAAATATAATTTTATGTACTTCCATAATTTTATACTAGAGGAAAAAAATGTATTCTAAGGTTAAGTTTAAAGAAATATTATAATAGGAATGGACCATCAATTCTGAGTTTAGTGCAGTACTTATATTTTATGAGAAAAAATATACCTTGACATTTTAAACTTGTGTTATAGTTAATACCACTTGAGAAAAAAAAGTATATGAATAACTAATAGGTACTTATCTATGTTTTATTATATTGCAAAATACCATTGTGAATAAATAATAGCAACCAATTGAAATAATTAATAGTAGACTACATAACATTTTAGTGGAATTTTATATTTATCAATTAAATATTTGATTATTAAATAAAAATATTATTATAGTTGTGATTAGTAATTAAATGTTGATTAGATTATCTTGATGTTTTAAAAAAACAAAATTCAAATAAAATATACATTTATCTAATATAAGTAATACTTAATGAATTTATCTTAGGTATAAATAAAATAATCAAATACCATTTGTATTTATAGAAAAAAATTAATACTATAATTGGTACTATTAAATGAGAAAAAATATTTAAAATTCAAAGTTAGGTACAATTTTGAATAGAAATTTAAGCATGTGAAATTGTTTAGTAATAATAGTTACCTACTTGTGAACAACACAGATGTGAGTTATAATTATCAGGTTATCAAAATAAAGAATGAGTCACACTTAAGTCTATAATTTGTTTCAATAAAAGAGTCCTTGATACCCCATAAATCAAATAGTAAACAAGTCTTTAAGTTTAATATTATAATATAATATATAGTACTTTATATGCTATTATTGTATCATAATTTAAAAAAAAATAACCTGAGCTTTAACTTAAAATATAAGGATTATAAACTTATAGCTTGAAAATAAATAGCTTTAAAATATTTAACATAAATAGGTAATTTTACTTCTGACAATTAAAATATTAATGAATTTTATCTTTCACCATAGTAAAAAATGTCAAATATTTGCAAACAAATATTAATTATAAAAATCAGTTTTAAATTGGTTTAATGTTATTCTATTAAAACAATGTAGTAAAACAAATGTTCCAAATAATTAAATAACTAATTAATTAAAATAATATACCTAACGCAATTAAGTATTTATGATAACGATAAATGAAAATTTGACCGAGTTAACAGTAATCGCATTACTTAAAATGCAAATGTTTACCTGGCAGTGTCGTGGGTCATCATGCGCTGATCATAGAGTTCCATATCAAACTTGAGACGGCCTACTTCGGTGAGCAACATGTCCCTCTCACTCATCACCAGGTTCAGTTGTGTTCTTAAATCATAAATCTCTTGACACTGCTGGTTGATGATCTCCATACTTTCCTCCAATGGAATCCCAACGTTATATGTCGAGTGACCGCTGTGTACCTGTCGGCAGCCCAATCCATTGGTGGGCTTTTGTAATCTTTTATTGTCGTCGCACATGTCCTAGTATCCGTCGCGTTACATAATAATACTTCCGCAAAGGTGTCACGGGCGGCGGCAGCGCGTGGTAGCGATGTGAACGTTTTCGTCGTCAGATCTCAAAGCCACCTGGTGGCGGAAACTTGTGAACGTCGGTCTGAACGAGGCGGACGAACGCGATTTCTCAACAACGGTGACAGATTCGACGAAAAACGAGCAGGGCGGAACGCCGTCGCGAGATTCAAAGGCACATATGGTCGGACGACGCGCACGCCAGCGATCCGAGAACGCGACGCACAGCGAGACGGATTCTGTGTGCGGTACAGTTTCGCTGATAACAACCGATGTTTAGTTCAATGTACTGGGCTCGACGACGCTCAACAATCGCGAATAATAACACTTTTATTACTATTATTATAATGATTATTATTATGACATTGTGTACGTCGTGCCCGACGATGTGACAGCAGCAGCAGCAGCAGCAGCAGCGGCGGCAGCGGCAGCAGCGGCGGCGGCGGCGACGGCGGCGGCGACGTTATCTCACGTGCCCACTCACTGGGAGGGATCGGCGGCGACGGCACCGTTGGTCAACGCACGGTATACGGTAACCTTGATATAGCCCCAAGGCGGCTATTCGCCAGTAACGCGTACAGGCCCGCTTTTGCCGCCGCCGCAGCGAGCGCATTACGCGGAGAGTACAATAATCCATAATGCGGCCCTACCGCACCTCCACTCGCCACCTACCTGCCGCCGAAACAAACCACTCACCCGATGCCGCTGTCCTGTACACCGTATCCTATCCATTTAGGGACATCTGCTGCCGCCCGTCGATTCGTAATGGTTTTTTCACGGTTTTTGTGCCGACCGACTGACCGGCGACGGCTGTGACGATAACGGCGACGGCCGAAAACTGGTTTCGATGGTTTACCACATTAACTACTTACGTTATTAATGCGTTATTATATTGTTATTATTATTATTATTATTACAGACGACGGTAGAAAAAATGTAGGGCAACGTGAACCATTAATAGGAATGCGATGTACCTACTACGAATACGTGATTTATTCGGAATCACAATGCACGATAATATATTCAACTCCTCGGCCTTCTCACACACGACATGTTTTTCTCATAACCATACCGCTTGAAAATAATATCTCATTCTGTGCTGTCATTAGAGTCGCACATGCAATCATATTATTCATAAACATCTGTGTACAGTTGTTGTTTCTGACGTTTTAATGAATCTTTTTGTTTCTAGCTGCTTCAAGTGAAAAACCGTTTTCATCATCGTTTATTATTTCCTATCATAAAACTTTCCACTATTGGAACATTTGCTTTTTTGGACAACCGGCCAGTCACTACTAAATGTGTCTCTGTTAGATATTTATATTTATTCATTAATACACAGGCTGGCGCCCAGTATGATACGCCCGAGTCATAGGCGCACATTTGGTTAAATTTTTGGGGCGGCTATAATAATTCAATGTAAAATAAACCGCAGGGGTTTCACCCCCACACCTCCTTCTCGTGCACAAATAAAACTTATTACTATTAAAAATATAGTTATGTTTAAATTATATTAAAAAAACACTAAATAACGAATATTTAAATATTATTAATATTTTATTTTAATGACAAATATCTATTTTTATCAGCGAAGATATTCAAAATATCATTGCTTTTTATATTTTTCGATAAATATTTTTCAATATATAGCATTGAATGATCGCTGAACCTTAGCTAAGTTTTTATTTTTGTTCATTGCACTGATACTTCTTTCGCAAGTAGCCGAACTTATTGGTATTGTTAATGCTATTGTAGTTTTTTATTATTTTTTATTTTACGATTTTCAAAAAAACCAACAGATAATTATAAAATTATAAAAACAACGAATAACATTTCTAACAAAGTTTCGATATCGGGGGGCCAAGCCCCCCTGATATCCGCATATGGCGCAAGTGCAACCTCATATTACACCGCTGGGCGCGATACGAAATAATAGAAAAAGTAATTATAACAAAGATTTGAAGAAAAAAAATCAAGTTAGAGAGTAAAGATTCTTTATTAGCCAGTCTTTTATAAAAGCGTAATTCCTTTTAAAAAGCATAAAGTGATGTGGAACGGATTATTATGTGGCAAGTGGGCTAGAAAGGAATTTTTCAACTAACAAAGACGGTTAATCAATAGAACCATGGATGCGATAATAACCAAAAGCGCTTCAATATACAGCAAAAAAAAATGGAAAAAAATTATTTTTCATTTCTTAATTATGTGAACGTTTGTGAGATAGTTGAGAGTACTATGTATATTATTTCATTCTCAACACTGTAGAACGTCTTATTGTGTACGCAGGTGTAGATATATTGTTGTATAATAGTAAATCGTATGCAGGTTGGCATAAATTTTTTTATCTGCGGTTAAAAGCACAGATCTATCACAGTGATCTTATCTTATCTTACCTAGTTATTTTACAAAACAAAGCTCAACCAATTTCATTAATTATTTTATGTAGGGTACCTACATTGGCATTCATGGGCGTAGCTATGCTTATAGCCAAATTAGGTAGGTACTTGCTTACATCAGTTAGAAGTAACAGCAAGTGCATTTTAAATAGTTATTAGTTATTTCATATTTGATTACTTATATAAATTATAATTATAACTACATATGGTTTATTAGAAAATAACGAGTATCATGATGTAAATAACAATTATAACTATAAGATAGAAAGTAAGACAATATGATACCAATCGAAAAAATGTAATAATTTACAGGCAGGTATATTAATAATAAAAAATATATTGAATATTATAGTAATATTAAATCAGTTTTATCCCATATTATAACAAATATGTATATATATATGTATTAAAACGTGTTATAAACTACAATCAACTGAGTCAACGAAATGGGTTATCGGTCTATGAGAAAAGATATATAATGTCAAACTGATATAATTTACGATTTGTCAGAGTCAATAATCACGAAGTTAATTTGAAATTTCAAGCCAAAAACAAGATATCTACTTCAGTACAAATGAGTATCTATATTAAAGTATTTTGTTTTTTCGTTTCGTTAAAATCTATGATCTCGTTTAAAAAAATATGGCAAATAGAAACAACTACCTAAACAAAACAACTACCTACCTCTTAAGTTTAAAGAGAAAAACTACTCTATAATCTTTATAACATGATCCTTAGACAGAATATATACATAACACCAAATTAATTGTCACCATACAGAACTTTGATTAAACGATTAATTTATTAATATCTAGTACACTATAAAACGGTCGGTGGTCATTAAAAAAATATTAGTTGATAGGTATTTTAGACATTTTTATATTTAACCTTGTGTTAATATTTCAAGTTTTAAGAATACACTGAAAAATCAATTAAAATGAATCTAGAAGTAATGTTACCATTAACTTGGATTAACTTAAGATTTAAACTCGAAACATTTATGTTTTTATTTAATAAAAAGTACTAACATTTTTATACTAACATTTGTTAGTTAATATTTTTCAAATATTATTTTATAGATGGTTCGAATTAGATTGGTGTATATATTTTACGTATTAGGAAGGAATTACTTAGGTATTTTATTATTTCACATTATTTAACATATAGGTATCACTGAAATCAAAATTTAATTATTTTAGACATATGAACTCACATAATTTTTTTATAGTTATGAAAAAAACTAGAGTGGTGAGAAATTAAACATATCTAACTTTCCTTCCCCCCTCATAACTAAGGGAATTTAAATTGTATTATTATTGAAACTATTGAGTTAACATAATCGTACTAACATTATATATATATATATTTAATTTTCTTTCGTTTACCCGTCTCTTCCTATAAAACAAACAACCCAATGCAATTTATACTTAATAACTTTTTTTTTAGAAAATGTAATTTCTTACTATTTTTATCGTGATAGATAAATGGGATTTGTCGTATCATTAACCGTTATTCAGATATACTTGATATTCTTAAAAAAACCGTTAAAAATTTAACTTTTTTGTATAAATAAAATGTATTATAATTTTTCATATAAAATAATAGATGTATGAAAAATTTTATAGACATGTTTTTTTATTAAAAATATAAATATATATGATTTAAGTTATTTTTACGATAAGTTCAATAGTCTATTGATTATATTCAAAAAACGACAAACCAATCCTATTTAACAATTTTTCAACCCCCTTGTGGCATGTGAAGGGGGTTAGTATTCAAGATCAAATTTAACTTAAATTTCTGCTTTATAATAATGAATAAAATGAGGCGGTGAGAAATCAAATATTTGAAAGTTCAAAACTAAGAGCCATCCTTATATATATATATATATATCATAAAATGTTTGAGGAATTTTAAAGTAGGTATAATACGTAGGTATTTAAGTTACTATTGTTAATAAGCATTAATTTTTTTATTTTAGCTTTAATTAATAATTTTTCAAAAATGTAATATTGTTATACAAAATGTATGGTTAAACATTTACAATATGTAATAGTCCATTACCTACTCATAAAATAATACTTTAGTATAGTAACTACATTTGTTTATGCGGTGAGTTGGTAAATTGTTGCATACAACTTTACAAGCAAGTATATAAAACTACAACAACAACAAATAGGTTAATATCATAAATTCATAAATAACAATCAATGAAAAAATAAAATATTCATATTATGTTTATTATTATAATAAGGCATTACATTGAACGATTTAAAAAAAATAAATATTTTAAGTTTTCACAGTGACTCATATAGTTTATAATTTATTGTAATCGCTTTAGATTACAAACTAAATAATCCCGTAAAATAGTACCTAAGTTAGTATGGTCGTTTTAGAATTACAATGAATTTGAATGTTTTATGTTTCTTATGGTTTCGTCACAACATAAATATAAATTCTGATCATTATATTGATAGTGAAGAATGATAAAAAAATATTCATTATCTGTATAGCTTTGATTGTTTTCATTATCTTAAAATTTAAAGTAAATATTTATTTGTATATTTAAACAACGGATATAAAATAAAGTGATGCTGGTATTTTTTTCGGCCTTCTGCCTTTCTCCAATAAAATTATATTTCTTGATGTCAATGCACAAGGACAAATTGTTTGTTTCATATATGAAGTGACTATGTACGTTCTGTTTTAAATATAATTATTCTTTTTTTGTGTAGTTGCATTTTCACTGATTTCAATAAATAAAGCGAGAACAGTATTTTGTTTTTATCACATAATCTGTATCCTATTTTATACAATTTTTGTATTCCAATAAAATAAAGCCTTTTATTTTTATATAATTTTTTACACTCTTTTGGGAGTGAAACATAAAATACATAAAAAAATTTCACTTGAAAATTATATATTTCAAATATTGACGTAATAATTATATCAACTGCAGTAAAAAAATAAAATAAAAATAAAAATAACAAATAATTTGTAGAATATTAATTACTTTCACGGGAACTGAATTATATTAGGTAATTTTTTTTTTTTTTTGAATATGATAATTATTCTATTTAAATCTATTAATACTAGTAAAGTGCATCGTACACCTTTATCACTAGAACAATCAAAGCATTGAAGTTTTAAATACCTGATTTCTATATCTTTTCTTTTTCACCGTAGTTAGATAAATTTGTTTGTTTTAATTAATTCTAATTTATCTCATTAAAATATTAAGGAATGGAGAGAAATATTTAGTTAGATTATTTTTTTTAACCCGTAGTGAAAATATAATACTTTTGAATATTTGAATGTAATAATTATTAATGATATTATAAAATGTAATAATTTGTACGCTATAATCATAATAATTTTGTTATTATACGGTTTGTTTGTTATTTTATTCAATTAAAATTATAATAAAAATCATAATATTATTACTATAATTATAATGAAAGCCAATGTATTAACACAATCACGGTTTGGGGTAAATTCGATTGGATTTTAAGTAGAAAAATTTCTTTTCAGTTTAGTAATTTTAAAAAATGTTTGAGCATTTTTGATCGAAAGTGAATTATTTTTATCAAAACTTTTGACAATTTGTTTTATTAATTTGGACATTTTAATTATCATATATTACGATAGAAATTCACGTATTCCAAACGCATCTGTACATTTTTTTTATTCATATTTAGTAATTTATAATAAATATTAATTAAAATAAGTTGAGTGTATTTGTATATTTTACGATTAGTATAGTCATAATTAATTGATAAAACAGTACTTCATAACTCTTATACTAAAATCATTCTGAAGCCAATTCTTATTAAAAATACATTAACGAAAAATATATAAAATGTTACATAGAACAGCAATTGAAAATCGTCAACATTTGAGGTCGTTGGTGAAAATGACGAATATTGTTTGCAATCGTTTTATTTAATAAAGATCCGATGACGCAGATTTTTTAAAAATTCTTTGGTTGGCCCGAAATCAACTTGATCGATCAACGGTTTTCAAATGTCAGATACTATACCCGTGTATCTTTGTAAACAATTAGCATATATGATAAAAATGACTTAATCGAGTAGGTACATTTTATTTACGAATATTTTTGAACTTTAGTGTATCTAGGTGTTATAGGTGTTTAAAAAAATTATTTAGTGTTAAACTGGGAACATGTATTCGAGTTTAAAGTGGCTTAACATTACCACCCGTGGTGGAATCCAAAGTTAAAACTTCATTTTAAATTTTAACTCGTTAATGCCCAGCCTTGTAAGATTTCAAGTACCTATGAATACAGTATTTAATTTAATATAGGTTCAAAAAAGAAAATTATTCTTCTCGAGAAATAAAATTATAACTATGTAAGTATTGCTTTGTTTGGTACAAAATAAATACATTTCCGGCAAATAGACTTAAATGTTAATTTATTATTTTAAAAATTGTACAAAATTACATTATTTAATGTAAACTTGCATGTCGATGTCTCTGGTTAATTTATGCATTATTTTTAAATGTTTGATTATAGACCCAATTATTCCACTAACTCTTTATTATTTTCATCAACCACGCATAATTTTTGGCATGAACTCAATTAATAAAGGGTAACCCTCCCCAAATTAAAAAAAATGACCTAATCTAAAAATGTAAAAGTTATTTCAACGTTTCCCATGGGACTTGCAAATAAAATGTATAAATATACATATTATACAATGAGTAAGTAAGAATGCTATCTATCAACATTTTAAAATTTTTTTAAAACCTCCCGACATTTTTTCTCACGTTTGCTTCTGCACAACTCACAAAATGCTTCATGGCTTTTTCATCTAGCATATTCCCATACCCAACCTTTTTTTTCTTCTCATTGTAAAAATGCAAATGTAATATTTAACCAACAAGTAATAGGTTTAGAAAAAAACTGGTTGGTTACATTATTCTTACTAATCTACTTTATCAGTTGTTGATAAAATTAACGATCCACTCAGGAGTGTGTTAAAAAAAAATAATTGCGTAATATAACATTAAAAATACCTGTCTATGATCAATCATTTCGACGAGATTACGGGCAAACTATAAAAAATAATAAATCGGCGTTAGCCGTGTACTGATTTTATTTCATATAAATTATATCTAACATAATATATGTATAATATAATTATAGTAATAGTGAATAATACAAAAATTGTTGATTCGCTCGATATTGGCTGTATGGAATGACCCGGTTGGTGGTCACCATTTATAATTTTACTACAATACTTTATCTTTGTCCGTGAATACGTATACGTGAATAACTCTAAAACACGTAAAGTAATTTTACGTGTATTAAGTATATGTGAATATAATTTTCGTTCATGTGTACACGGATTTCATGTTCACATACATATGTATTAATCATATTTTCAATCGAGACTTCTAATTTCTACGCAGATATTTTTGAGGAAATATATTATGAGGTTTTGATTGTGTATTTATGTTGACTTGATAACTTAAAATAATGGAAAATTGGAAATTATATAATAATCAGATAAATAATTAGAAATTTAATACTTTTTATGAGCTAGTTTGTTAAGTTTCATCAACTTTCTTAGATTATAACTAGAACAAGTTATATTTTTGAGTTAAGATCTAATTTTATTCTTGGAATTAATATTATCAATTATTTCATGGGATTTCAAAACAGCATTTTCCAAAATAAGTGATTATATTATTTATAATATCTAAATTATATAAAAAGGTGAGTATTTCATTAAAATTACATGAATTAAAAAACTTCAAAATAAATAAATACAAAGAGTGATTATGTATCGTAACAAGAAAAATAAATTGGTGGATGATGGATGAACCATGTGTAGAATCAATAATAGAGTTTGAGAACATTAAATCTAGAATACTGTTGTGGCTATTTGTCACTTTATTTTTTTTGTTTTTAATTTTAGTAATTAACATAAAAATTTATAAGAACATTAGATATTGGATTTTTGAATAGAGTAAAATTAGTAAATGAGAATACATTTAAATTAAAATCATCTATAATTTTAATAATTTTAATGGAATGACAACATTTTCTAACAACTCACAATGCTTTTTATAAAAATCAATTAGGTAATTTAGTGGAAAATAAACGCAACATTATAATACACGCAAATATATGTTTACATTATTATAAGAAAAGAAAACAAATAGTTGATCAATGCCCTGAATATAGTCAACATTTAATAATTAAAAATTTAAATTTTTTTTTAGAGGTAAATAATTCTATGCCACCACTGGAACATAAGTTAGACATTTTATCAATCCTAAATATATTATAAACTACAAGACCTAACTCGGCATAAATATCATTATTCAACCAAGCTTCAGACAAGAATAATAAATTACAAAGTAAATTAATGGCACTGTAATGAAAAAATTGCAGCTTAGTTCTAAGACCTCTAACATTTTGATACATTATATAGAGATTAGAAAATGTTGATTACTATAGTAAGTATTGGACAAAGCACTTGAATTAACAATTTTAGGCACACCTTTTATGGTTAATCCTGTTAGACCATTGTTTGTAAGTGACACAAGTCCCTCCCTAAATTTCTTTATGTGTTCTCTCTGGTAAGGAATTCGATCTGCAGAAATAATTATTTGAGAGGATGGAGTTGAATGTACAATTTTTTTTTTATTATATATATATATATATTAATATATTTTCGTTTTAAATCATTATTTGTAGTTAATAGTATGTCAATATTTGTATTTATGTTAATATGTGAGTTTTTACTTTACTCTAATTTAGCCCTTATCGACGATTTTCTTAATAAAAAAATAAAATTCCGTAACTTTGTCGTATGTAAATTTTTGAACAATGATTTATTTGGGTATATGAATATTTGATAAATACTCATTTAAACCTTGGTATAGTTAACTTTTATCCGAAGTTTTAAATTTTAGATATATTATGATCCGGGTTCAATATAAATATTTAGAGGTCATAATTATATAGATTTTACAGTAATAGTTGTTGATTTATTTCATTAATATTGTAGAAAATATGATAAATTACTGATTTTATTATTTAACTTTAATATCAATGTTCATATGTATTATATTCACTCAAATACAGTTTTGAAATTAGATAAAATAATAGAATTTATTCTATAACCCTAGTTGTTAGTAATTAGTAGTATTGAATTGATGTATGAAGCAGAGAACTAGGGAGTGAAATGTCTATTAAACAAAAATATAAATATTAACTGTGGTGCTATAAAATATAGTATTTCACTAATATATCTTCACACAACAGTAAATATTTATAATTCAAACATTAATACTCAATTAGTGGTTTGAACTATATTAGTTATAGACTTTAAGGTTTAATTTATATATATATTTGCTCAATAAGTTACAAGCCTAATTTTTGTTTTTAAAATCTAGTACAATGAATATACAAAGATACAAAGATCTGTGATAAATTTCTTAATATAAACCATTAGTTTTTGAATTTCAAAACATACAGTTTACTCAAATAAAATTAAAGGGGTTTATTTTTTTATTTTCATAGAATACATCATGTATATTTATATATATTAAATAATCATAAAAACATAATTTAAAATAAGTTTTGGCTATTTATTTACAATGAAACATTAAAAAAATTATTTTTAAAAATGACTAATTACAAAGATTTAGGAACAAGCAAGCAATATAGCTAATGCTTTAAGCCTAAATTTTCTTAAAAAAGCAATAAGTTAAAAATAATTGACTGCTTAAGTATAAGTATTCAATATTTATTAACTTAATTAAATGTGAACCTAAAAATTAATTAATAAATAATATCAATATATGTTTTATATTAGAAAAAACTATAATACATTAATTATTATCAATTAAATTAATTGGAATTACGATGAAGATATAATAATGCCTATCTTAAAAAAGTTATCAGTCAGTTTTACGTATTTTGCGCCTATTCCTCACTGAACGTTCATTGTCTGTTGATTCCCCACTAGCTTGATCATCTAGCAATTCATCTTTAACAAGTTCATCATCATCCTGAAAATAAAATTATTATCTTGATAACAATAGTCCATAAATATATAAGTTATAATATTATTTCAACTAATTTAAATAAAATCCAAAAAAGTATAAGATGTTAGTAACTTACTGATTCTTGACCACTGTCACAATTTTCATCTTTTCTATTTTTAATTGGCATTTTATGATGGCTTGGAGGATACACTAAATCAATTATACAAACTAACATCTAAAATAAAAAGATTAATACAATTATTTGTAAGATATATTAAATATATATATTAAAAAACAAAATTAAACTTACAAGTCCAAGTATGGCACCAACAAATATGGTGGCTATAGCAAATATCAAGTATGAGCCCCACGTTGGAAGTCCATATTCAGCCATTAGAGTTGAATGTAAGATCTTTATAAAAATTATTAATTAAATTGGATACACTTTTACACACAATATTATAACAATTTACTTACTCTAACTTTCTGAGAAAGTTTAAAGAATTGAGCAACTAAAGACATTTGAATAGAGTTAGGAGCCTTCCATGTAGAAATTGTTTCTAATTGTTCCCATTTGCGTTCTTTTATAAAAGATATCATTGAATCCTTATCACGACCCATCTTATAATATCTGAATAGACCATTTTTAACACTGTAAAAGTACAAATAATAAGATATATACAATTAGTTACTTTAATAAAATATTAATAAAAATATTCTAAAGAAATAAAATAAAATCTAAAAATTTGACTTTTATAAATATATGTCAAGCTAATAACACAATTGATAAACTAATAAACAGAAAAAATGTAATTCATTTAATTTCTAAAGATGAACAAATTTTTAAGTTCATTTTTAATTACAATTATTTTACTTAATTTTGTTTTTGGAGTATATTTTCAAATACATTTTATCAACTGCACAAACAACTTTTGTTACTTTTTAGAGTAAGAAAGCCAAAATCTTATTTAGTAACTTTAGTTATAATTATAAAAGAATATTATTATTAATTTGATAATCAGGGAAGGAAAAACTTAAAAAAATTGTATGCATTTGAATATTTTAAAATATTCAGTACATTAATAAATAATATATCTTACTGGAAAATAGTAGGTAATGTAGTCACAATAAAACGCCCAGTTAGTCCTGGTGATATTGTTATATCTGTACTCGCAACAGATATAGTTGCATGGCCTTCACTCCATTTTGCAAATTCTCTCCATTCAGGTTCAAGGGACTTGCAGGCTGGACACCAAGGTGCATAGCTATACAAAATTAATTTAATTTAATAATAATCACTTACTGTATCATTCATTTATAATATAAACAAAAATGTATTAATTAAATTAATCAGACAAATTAAGATCTGTAATACCATTTTAAAATAATTTTCAAACTTCTAGAAATAAACATCTAGCTGATTTTATTTTTATTTTAAATATATAATTAATGCTCCTGATTTATTAAATTGTATCCCTTTTAATATTTCTACTATTAATTACTAGGTAAACCAATATATTTTACATATCAATACACAACATAAAGTATTTGAAAATCTCATCCATTCTAAGCTGATCTAATAGTTTCATGCAATAAACTATCAATAAACTCTGATTTTTCTTTTCATCTTTAGGAATGGTTCTAAACTTACTTATAAATAATGATAATAATGTGTGTATAAAACAATTTTATAGCTACATAGTATTCTTATCAATAAATTGACACAATTGGTATTTTTCATTATTATTATTCATACTAGATTAAAACAGATAAATAAATAAATTTAACCAAAATACTTAAAATTATATGAATCTGTAAATGACTTTAATGTTTATGTATTGTATTCAATTTGTCTACAAGGAATGATTATTTATTAGGTTTTATAAATGTTATTTATAAATATTATGGTATTTTAGACTCTTTGATATTTAATTTTTTTTAATTTTTGGCTTTTATTAAATATACATATATATATATTAAATTAATTTATATTATTTGTTAAATCATTGACATAAATTAACTTAATGACATTAAGTTCATTTGAAAATGTTTCAAGAACTTAATTATAAATCTAAATAAAAATTACATTATTACTAATTTTAAAATCATGATAAACTAGGTAGATAATATATTTGATTAAACCTTGTTTAAACAAAGAAATAGAATATATTGAATACATTTTTATACTTGCTCTTTAAAACCATTTATTATATTTATTCCACAATATATTTATAAAAGTTTTAAAATATTTGGACATTAAATTTTTTATTAATTAATTAATGAAAAATATTTTATCTTCAACAAATTAAGAAATATCATAATTATTAAATATGATAAATTAGTGTTATATCTAATTTAATTTATTTTAAGATTCTTTAAATATTAATGTATATAATTCAATGGGAATTATGAAATTAGAGTATTATAAAATATATGTCAATGGAAATAAATCATGTCTTAAAATGTTATTGACTGCAAATATATATTTGATAAATGCTATCTCACATTCTCATGTAATATCAATACTCAATAGGTATATTACAATATTATTTTTTTATTTGTTAAGCAAAAATAGATACTAATGACAAGATATCTAATTTATTTACATAGAATAATGAGTTAACAGAAGGAAAAAGATAACAGTTTATTTTTTTATGGACATTATAAAATTACATTAGTAGGTATCAAATATTTTATGTTCAGACATTTTATGGTCAATTACACGGTTTGTATATATGTAATAAAAATATAATGGTAATAGAAATGTTTCTTTTTAATTTGAATCAGCATTAGGAATAATCAATTAATAATAATGTTAACCAAGAAACAATAACTGTACATTCCTAACGTTATTCAACGTCAACAAGCAATAATGTCTCGAGAGTGTACATCTGCCCTCTGATCAGTATAGTATTGAAATATAGTTACGTCTAAAAAATACAAGTACTCACAACAACACCATCCACTCGCCGTTCAACACGTTCGTCCAATTGCTCTCATCCAGTACCATTGACCCGTGGTCACCACCGACGGTGGCAGTGGCGGCGACGACGGCCAACAAGAACAGCGACCCGATGGCCAGTAGTAGGACGGCGCGAGGAAGTATCGACATGTCGTCGTCGTCGTCAGGGAGAGGAATTCGATTACAAAAGTAGTGAACGGTTTGAAAAAGACTTACGCGAACGCACGAAAATACAACAGGGCAGTGTTTCTATTTTTCTCTGTGATCCGTTACGTTAACGAAAACGACCGAGATCACGTACGAAACGAAAAAAAAAGACGATTACGATCGTATCTAGGATCCGGTGACGGGCAAATTTTTCAAAAAATAAATTCCTGAGTCGTGTGCCTGATAGCGACGGCGTTACAATAGGCAATTGGCATCGCCGCTGTCGTGTTCTCGTCGCCTACCTATCTTCGTATCGTCGGTGCGCGCGCTGCAGTAACACGAATCACACAGGTCACGGTGACGGGTGTACGGGCAGCGGTGGTGATGGCGGTGAGGGTGCGGAGACGGCGGGGTAACGAGACGACAGGGCACCGTCAGTTTGCCGATTACAACTTGTGCCACACGGTACCGTGTAATCCACTCGAACGTTCTTTGTCCGACTGCAATTACTACTACCGTCCACTACTGCTACAATACTCGACCGCTGCGGATGTGATGCTACGCCGATCGTTTTGGCCCCCCCTGTTGCCCTGGACGATTCGTTTCCGAGCGGCGCGCCGCGACACGTCAATACTCGATTTTTTATCAATATTGTCACCTGTCGTCCGCTGCGCGATTACAATCGATCACTGAAAAGCCTACGCGTCACAGCGGTGTACACGACGCGGAATACGTTAACATCCCCATTGTGGTTTCGCTTTGGTTAAAACTTGTCAGCACGATCAGTTACTTTTCGTGTCGACTTTCAAATCAACGCGTCCAAGGGCGCCCGTAGGAAAATTCTCAAGGGGTGGGGACAACATTTTAATTTATCAATCTATTCATAAATAGGAATGACCCACGATATAGGAAATGGTTTACAATTTTAAATTATACTATCACATTACATATATATATCAAACTGGAAGACTATAAAATAATAGTTATTTAACCAATTTACCATAAAAGTAATTTATTGAAATTTTTATTTAATTAATAATATAAATTGGACACTTAAAACATTAGTTATATTTATTAAAATATTAATTTACAAATTTTATATGAATATTATGGTTGTGTACACACACACATATACATACCGTATTTCTGAAAACACACAATATTTTAAGAATTGATAATTATCCATAGAATAGAAACGAAAAAGCGTATTGTTATTTATAGCTGTTAGCCTGATTTTCCAAACTAAATAAATACATTTTTCATATACAAATTATAGATTTTCATATTTTTAATTGAATTTTTAAATTCTATTTAAATAAATATTTTCTGATCATAATAAACAATTTTCGAGAGGAGGGGGGAACATGTCCCTCCCTTGCCCCCCCCCCCATATAGGCGCCCTTGAACGCGTCTAAAAAACCGCATTATCGGTACCTCCAAATCGTAACTCCAAACGGATATTTTCGAAATGAGTCGAATGGAGTCTAAAACGGCCGTGGTGGTTGTGGCACAATTATTTCGTTACATTTGCGCACGCATAACGCGCCAAACGACGTACAAAAAATACCAAGGTGCAGCGTTGAACCGAGACCGAAATAATATAATATATAACGCGTCGGTCACGGTTGAAATGCCCGCCGCACCGACCGTAACCCGTCTCATTCGCGACAGGTCGGTGAACGTGCGCGTACAGTACACTCTCAACGTGTACACGGATATAGGTTTCCGCCGCGGTCCTTTTTATTTTTTTTTTCCACATGCGCACTCGATTAGCCAACAAGGTATCTTGACGCCGCACGGTTATCGATAATTCCATTGCACCTATGCCGAATAGGGTGGTGGTCAACTGTGGTTGGGTACCTATCCGTCGTAAGTGTTAAAATACGGACACGATCACGTTGTGTTCGTAGGGAGCGAATCTGGGGACGTCTCATTAGCTGCGTACTGAAAACCTAAATAAAACGATCAAAAGTCGAAGTGTTGTGTTACCAGCACGCGCAATAATGCCGTTGTCGCTTGTTTTCCGTCGCTCGGAATCCCGTGCAGCGACGTACGGTCTACCACGGTCAAACTGCGGCATGCAGGTCGTTGCTTGTGCAGTGTATCGAGTTGAAAATGTCTGGAAATATTTTTTTTTCCCCTCGGGCCTTCGACATTTGATCAGCGCGCGATAGGCGTACACCGAGTTCTCTCTCTCTCGCTTACTATTTTATTTGATCATGAATAAAACACAAAAAAAAAAAAAAAAACAATCGATTCTGTCATGATATTATTATGCAAAACACTAAATCCTACCAATTAGACACGTCTAATATATCGACAGAGCAAATCGCCACTGCTATACACAACCATTATAAAACACAATACACAGGCATACATTTTTCAGCACCATTGTTGTTTTCATTTTCAAACGACGTATCTTTAAATTATATGTTGTAATAAAAATTAATTGAAATTGCTATTGTTTCATTGACCATGCATCGTGACGAATTCGATGAATATGACGTATAGTTTTGAATAATTTCGCTTTCCAACATGAGCTTGATACAACTCCATCTTTTTTTCGTATCTATTGATTGGTTTCATAATCTCTGTATAGCCTACTGTATCATAGTCAGGTCCGGGGTACACATTTTGAGTTCCTGGGTAAACAATAATTTAAGGCCCATACTTTTTACTAAAACCAGTTATATTATATTCAACGAGTATCTATATGTAGAAAATAATTTTAATTTATATGCATTTTGTTAATTATAGTCTATTAAATCAGAATAACTAACTAAAAACAAAAACACTGATATCGACACTTTCGGAGTCAAAATGTGCGCGCTACAGGGCCGTTCAAACGGTACCATTTTGCCCCAGGCCTCATTGTTGGAATATTTTTTAGGGGGCCCCCATAAAGTCTTGATGTATAATAATTAATAATAAAGCCTCGATTACACTGAACAATTTTACACGCTGCGTGTCGGCGATTAATGTCGCGCGCGTGTGAGTGTGTAGCGACTTGTCCGATTACATAGAAATGATTAAATTATAAATAATATAAATAATATTAAATTATATTATGTAAGTATGTAATGCAGTGCATACATTTAAATGAGCTTGATTGGTTAAGGTTTGGAAAAATACGTTTACAAGAATTTTGTTATTCTCAGTTTACTTATTACTTTGTTTATCATATCTTATTATTATGGTCAAAGGGCCCCCCAAATTAATTTGCCCCTGGCCCCGAAAAACCTTAAGACGACCCTAGTGCCCTACGGTATAATAACGGTGTACAATCTGGGGTTAAATTTTTTTTTTTCCATCTGAATTTCAACTTCAAGTACAAATCCAAATTGCATTAGACAAGTTATAATAGTAGTCAATGCAAATTATTGTTATGTTATTTATTAAATATATTATTATTATGAATGTGAATGAAATATTTTTTAAATGTTAATTAGGTATATATGACTAAGTTTTACAATAGGTAAATTAAATAAATCAATTCAATTACATTTCCATTTATATGTTTTAAAATATCTTAGGTACCGAGTAAAATTATAAAATTTCTTTAAAAAAAAAATGTTCAAAAATGACGATGCACTTCTTCCTTATTATTATTCTTCCTTATTTAAACAATTTTTAGTTTTACATTTTTAGACGGCGACACATCGATAATAATGATATGATTGTATAAATACCACTTTTTTCAAATATCAAATATTTTTAGAAACGAAGGAAATTATACGACCTAGAATTATATGCTGCAGTGATTAATGAAAACATAATGACAATATTATTATTTATGAAATTCCTAAGTAATGAAAAAATATTACAAATTAAATATTTTCGTAAAATATTTAAAAATTGTCATGATTCTTTTCTTATCTACCACTTTTTTTACTTTTTAAACACTAATTATTTTTTACAAACTTTTAAGGCCTGAGACAGTGCCACAACCAGAGCCATGTTAAGGGGGGGTCAAAGGGGGCAATTGTCCCCGGGCGCCATAGTTTTTTAAAAGTAAGGGGGGTGCCCTTATCTGCATTTAATATGCTACCTGTACCTAGTGGCCTCGTAGAAAAAATTTTGCCCCGGGGCACTGAAATGTTTGACATGGCTCTGACCACAACTACACTAACTTGGGCCCGTGTGTAAATAAAATTAATGCCTCCGCCACGCCCGGACTCTACATGGAAACCGTACCTTTAATCAATTGTAATCAGGGCCGTCGTAAAGTTTAGTGGTGCCTAAAGCAACTTAATGCATAGGTACTATACAGTGGAAAACCAGTCACCCCTGAGCTTATGAGGTTTTAACCCTTTGTCAATAAAATAAAACTATATTGGTTTTAATATAATAATAGAAATGTACACATATTATTTAAACTGTGTATTTAGAATATACATAGGTAATCAAAATTCAGAGATTCTACGTAATTTGTTGAAAAAATTCATGGCTTCAATTATAAATGTATAATTTAATATCGTTTTTTTCATTGTATAAACTCTTACCTTTGAGTTTTTTTAAATACGTATAACCACAGACAGGGCCAGATTATGGTCATAATTTGAGGGAAGTATTACTTTTAGTGAGGCTCTTTTACAAAAAACAATTCCATTTTTCTTTTTTTCAGATTTAGTTATTTGTAATAAATATTAATGAAAATAAGTTTAGTTTATTTGTATATTGTTGAAAATTATAATAACATTTTATTTTTTTAAACATATTTATTTGATGCCATTTTATATGAAAAAAAAATTGGTAGCTTATTGTGACCCTTTTTAATTTTCAGCCCAGTGCTATAGCCCCCCCCCTCCTTGATCCAGCCATGACCACAGAACGTAAAACTGAACAAGTACTTTAGGTAGAAACCGTGTTTAGTATAAATTATTAGTTACTAGTTATGAATTATATGATTCTTTTTGCTTAGTCTTCAGTCGTAAGGTGAAACAACAGTAACAGTCAATATTTAAAATTAATATACTACATTATTATGGGAGAAATACATACATGTTATTGTTTAAATCTGTGGTTATCGTGGCCTGTTCATGACGATGCACCGCACTGATAATCAACAATTATTATTCTTAATAAAATATCTATTTTATTTATTGCCTGCCGCATTTCTAGGAATTATCATTAATTATAATCTATAAATACTTTTTGTACAAACGCTATAAAAAAAATAAAAAAAACTATTTGTGACTAATTTGTATAGCTCAATTATTTGTTAAATATTAACAATGTATAACTTACAATTTAGCCTACACTACCATAGTTAACAAAAAAAAAAAAAGCAATGGATGTTGTGGCCACTAAAAGTTTGGAGTCTGAGGCAAAATA